GGGGGGGGTGGCATAATTGTATATAAAGAATTTGGGAATGGCAAGTGTTACATGAACATAACTCTTGGGCAAATAAATAATTTTGCTACACTTCATTTAGGATGAATCTGCACAGCCATTAATGCAGCCAAGCAAAATCCATGTCCTCATCTTGGTACTCCATGGGGGGAACATCCTGGATACAGGAAGTGGCGATCAGAGTTCTAAACAAGGGGACGTCAATACCATCACAACAGTGTTTGACACGGTCATGAGAGTGCATTACCCAGCTGCTCTTGGACATATTGCTATCAAGCTAGTCCCTTGCCCAGCCATCTGCTCGGAGGCCTTTTCACTGGTGTCTAAGTAAGTTAGTGCCACTTTTTGTGGGGGGAGAGAGAAGCGTTAAATTGTACTGTCTTACAGTGCATCTGTTGTTCATGCTGTGGGATAAGATCTGTGTTTGATGAGGATGCATGAGATTGATGAAAGCTGTGCACATGCTTTGGGAACACATTTTATAAATAAACCAGGAAGCTGCCCAGTCTCAACTCTGTACTTGGCTGCAATGAATACAGCAGCAGTGTGGCCCCAAATGTTATGATTTGATTTATTCTGACTAATAAATAAATACTTTGGCTTGAATACACAGAGTTTATTGACCAAGGGTCATTCTGACAAGATAAATGAATTTCTGATAGAGGGGTGTATGTGTATGTGCTTTCTCCTGCCATAGTGCATCTTCATTGGCAGTAGAACACATTAAGTTTTGCCCTTCAAATTTTTGTCTTTAATGATCCAAAACACTGCTTATGTTGACTGCAAATAGTATTCTCTGCTCCAGATGTCAAAGCCCTGTCTCTTTCATCTCCTCTCCTGTATTCAGCCTCAGCCCTTACAGCTATGATGAAGGCTGCCTTTCCAATAGTCAGGATCACATTCCTCTTGCTGCCCTTCCTCTGCTAGCCACATCGTCCCCCCAGTATCAGGAGGCGGTAGCCACAGTGATTCTGAGAGCCAATCAAGCTTACAGTGACTTCATCAAATCACAGGAAGGCACATCGTTCACTGGACAGGTGAGCGAGTTGCTGGCTTTAGTAACAATCAAACTGAAAACAAGTAAAGCTGCTTTTCTCTTAAGCTGTTTTTATTGATCTCATGGAAGAATTGCAGAAGCTTGATTGAGCTGGGCTATGAACAGTGATTTGGGTGTTTTGTTGCCGTTTTTTTCCTTGTTTGGTTGTTAGAATAATTTATCTCATGCTGCCCAGCAAACCTATTCGAGATGAATCATAATAAGAATGAAAGCAAAGATCAAGTTAATGGAACTTAGCCATAGAAATTTGAAGTGATTTAAAAGACACTTTGGGTTTGACATACCTCTGCACAGGTGTAGTACTGAATGATCTCTACCTGCCTTAGGTATGTACTTAGTCCCTATTCGCACAGTACCCAAGAGGCTGACAGTCTCTGTTGTGTTCAACTCCACTATGTTGCTGTGACTTTGCTTAGTGTTATCAGCCCTTTTTACAACTGAAGCACAGAAAGGTTAAGTCAAGTCACATAGGGAACTGCTGAGGGAGGCACTGGACCTGAGCCCTACAGAGAAACCATGCTGCCTCTATGTACATCGCAAGTGCTCCAACTTCTTTTACTCATGGATTTCAAAGCCCTCTCCCCCTACATAGGAGGAAGTCGGGTCAGATTTGCTCCTGAAACTGCAACTGTGTGCTTCATGGCTAAAAACCTCTTAAGGCAGCTTCCAGCCTAATATAAAGTCTGTTAACCTAGGACTTGCCAGTGTGAGATATGATGGCCAGTAAGGCCTTTACAGCTTGGGTTGCCAAGAGGTTGGGGATGTTATCTAAGCGGCAAAGCTGGTAAACATATGAGGGTTTGTGTTTTCCCAAGTTTAAATGCTTTATTCCTGTGCTTATGTCTGTGAGCTGAAACCAAGGGGTTGCGTTTTTCTACTTTTGTTTGCTTTTTCAGGTCTGCTTAGTAGGGGACTGCGTAGGAGGAATCCTGGGGTTCGATGCCTTATGTTACAGCAATCAGACTGTGTCTGAGAGCCAAAACAGCAGCCGGCGAGGAAGTGTGGTGAGCATGCAGGTAAGGCACTACACCACACACCTGTTGGGGTGACACTTAGCATTACAACATCACCACCTCCCAGTTATGGAGAGAAGAGAGTACTCCACTGCCAGTCTCTCTCTAGTTTTGCTTCTAGTCATCCTGCACCTCATTACCAGAGAGGGCTGCTAACCTGCTTCTTGAAGCATGTAAGTGTGTTTTGAAGAGTTCCTAATCATTTCCCATTTTATTTATGGGGTTTGTTTGAAAGAACAATGTTCATTCTTCTAAGTGATCTGTAATTGTAGCTGAGCATTCATGTCTGCTTTCCTCCCATTCAGTTATTGCCCAATTACATGACACACACTGACATGTTGTGTTGCTTCTAGTTATACGCTAGTTTACCGGCTCCTCAGTTTGAGGCTTGTAGATGACAAATTAATTGTTTTCAGACATTTATTAAATTAAAATTCCATATACTAGGATGTTCTGAGCCTAGAACTGGATAGGGCTGATCCTGCCTCAGGCAGAGGTTGGACTAGATGATCTCTGGAGGGGCCCTTCTAGCCCTACTTGTCTCCGACTATAACCAACATCCTGTCCTACCAGACAGATTCAGTTGCTGCTGAAGCATGAATGGAGATTCAGATTGGTGGGGATTTTTCTTCCGCTTCTTGGCGCTACTGTGAGATAGGTAAAATAGCTCAGATCAGGGGGCTTACAGAGATACCCTGGGTGTCTTAGGAAACCATCTGATTGATTGAGAGATTAGATAGACTTCAGCTGGATGCTGGAGCAGATGGAGAGGCAGTGGGGATGTTTGAAGAGGGAGGATGTAACATGGGAGCCCTTGCAACTCAGCTCTCTGATACTTAAGCCTGTGTACTTCAAACCCTAGGACACCGACCTCTTGTCCCCTGGAATAGCTGTGAACAACAGTTACTGTTCCACCAGCTCCAATCTGGAAGCCAGCAGACACCTCAGCCGGAGCAACATTGACATTCCTCGCAGCAATGGAGAGGATCCAAAGCGGCAACTGCCACGAAAAAGGAGCGATTCGTCAACCTACGAACTAGACACAATAAAGCAACATCAGGCATTCCTATCAAGGTGAGGCTTCAAAGGAATCAAGTCAGCAGCTCGTGAGGCAAGAGGGGTGCCCCCCTGAAGTTTTGATGTTGTCTTACAGGTCTGCAGGGAGTAAGGTGGAGGAAAGGGTTACAGACTATCAGATGTGCTTAGGTTCCAGTAAGGAGTGTTGAGTTCACAGGGAGATTATGGGCTATTAAGCATGATGCCATGGGGTGGTGCTACTTTAAATACACTGCTACATTTTTCCAGTGGTTCTCGATGAAATTTCCAGGTTTCAGTGGGAGGACTGACAGTCTCTTAGGACTAAACCCTGCCACCACTTAGACACTGTTGAAGGATCGCTTCTCCGAGCTGGAGCCGTTCTGTTCTGGCTGCAGTTCTTCCCTCAGCGTGTGGAATAGGAGAGCCCCAGGCTGCCTCTACTTGAGCCCTCCTTTTCCACTGAGTGACAAGCAAAGAAGCCTATACACTTTATCAGGCCTTGCTGTCCACTGTCTAATGGGTCCTTGTTCCAACAGCCATCAAAAAGGCAAGCAAAATATTAGGGATTATTAAGAAGGGAATTGCAAACAAAACAGAAAGTATCATCATGTCCCTTTATAAATCCAGGGTGCATCCACACCTTGAATACCATGCTCAGTTCTGGTCCCTACACCTCAAAAAGGATATAGAAGAACCAGAGAAGGGCAACACAGATGATTCGTCTTCCCTATGAGGAGCGACTAAAGAGGCTAGGCCTATTTGGCTTAGAAGAGAGATGTTTGAGGGAGGACTTGATAAGGGTTTACAAAATAGTAAATGGTGAAAAGGTAAATAGGGCTTTATTATTTACTACCTCTCACAATACAAGAACCAGGGGTCACACATGAACCTTGTAGGTGATAAGTTTAAAACAAACACAAGGACGTTCTTTTTCACATAGTGTGGCATTAAAGTGTGGAACTTATTGCCACCAGGTGTTGTGGAATTGGACAGTTTAGCCAGGTTCTAAAAGGGTTTGGAGAAATTTTTGGAGGAAAAAGGCTTCAGTAGCTATTGAGCATGGGCATGAGGGGCATGGGCTCTGAATCAGAACTTCCTAGACCTTAAATGCTGGAGGCTGCAAGTAGGAGAGGAACAGTGGAAAAAACCCAGGTCAGATCCAGTTCACTCTCCCTTTCAGCATCTGCTCTTTGTCACTGTGTGGTACAAGACACTGGCCAGATGGATCTATGGTCTGCCCTTGTAAATGGCAATTCTTACATTCTTTGGGTGTTTGTACACGTGCTTGGAGTGGGGGAGAGGAGTGGCCCTTTTAATTAGAATGGCTCTGCAAGGCACTCTAATTAAAGCGCCTGGAACGTCATGTGTATCAGCATCCTTGTGCTGAAAAATGGTGGCGGGGGCGCTTTAACTAAAGCTTATTGAATGAGCTTTAGTTAAAGCATCTCTGCTGCCATTTTTCAGCATGAGGACTCTACTGCATGTGATGCTGGAGCGCAGTAATTACCACAGTGCAGCAGACTCGATTAATCTAGTCTGCTCCAATGTGCTGTAATTACAGCATGTCAGAGCAGCCTCGCTGCATGTGTATAGGTGCCCTTATATTCTAACTCTGCACTGTCTTGTCTGAGGCCCTCTACTGAAAGGTTTATACCAGAGGGAAAGTATCCAAAGTGAATGTGGTTGGGGCACAGAGATGCTTTATTTGAAAGGATGACTGCATTTAGGAAGACCAATGAGCATTTTGTCTATTTTCCAGAAGGCAATGAATCTCTTATCAGGACAGCTTCCTGGATGAGAGAAGCAAATGCTGGTCGAGTTGGAACAGTTTGCTTCCGCCTCCCAGCTCGCTCTTGAGGTCAGAGGGTCATACCCAGGACTGAGTTGGAGGGTGGCCTGGTGTGGCATCTGGCATGTGTGTCTGCTCTGTGGGATGAATACTGGGTTCAGGGTGGGCTATAGATGCTGTAGCTGCCACAGTGCAGTGCGTTTATCCAAATGTTCCCTGTAACTGGTTCTCTCCTGCTTCCTCTCTCCAAACCACTTTTTCTGCTCCCAGCATGTAGGACTTTGAGGAATGGCTTTAGGCTCTCATTAGTCAGGCATTCTCCTTGGCTGTGCTGCTGGCTGCAGGAGCGGACAGTAATTATTCTGCCTTTACACCTTCTGTTTCATTTATTTCCAAATCCACCTTTGCTGCCAGTGGCACCTGAGGGAAAATCAAAGATGAGTCACTCCCCATGGCAGGACCTGGCCATTCTCATTCTTTCCCTGAGCAGGATGCCAGTGCAGGGGCCACATGCACCAGTCCTGTTTACGACCCCTTCCCTCTGCTGTGCAGAGCAGATTGCACCCTGCAACAGGGAATTCAGGCACACCGCACTTTCCTAGTCTCTATGGGGGGTGTGAACAGGGTGTTTGCATTGTTGAACCAATTACTGTGTTGCGGTATGCTGTCAGCATGGTGATCAGAACAATGTGCTATCAGTGCATCATTTTATCACTAGTAATGGCATTCCTTATAAAAGCCAGACCCCAGTGTAATGTTGCTTTTGGCAGGAGAGATCCAAGGTTTCCCAACAAGCATAGTCAACGTGTATCGTCTGGGCAGTCTGGCATATGGAGACTTTTTGATCGGTGCCCAGCGTAGACTCGAACACAAGCCAAGTACAGATTAATTTTCATTCGTGTTCTGATGTTTACCCACTTCCCTGGGACAAAGCCCAGCAAAGGCTGAGCATCATCTGAGGATACAACTGCTCTCTCCTCCTTAAATTCAGTCCTTGAAAGCTACAGTATTTCTGGCAGTGTTGCACTTTGGAAATTAGTTGATTTTGTTTCTGAAGCCCATTAGATCTTTTCTTAATTGATGCATGCAATGCCTCTGTTGCATTTGAAAAGGAGAACAGATTACTGTAGGCTGCTGGAAGCATGATGGATTCTGATTTCCCCTCTTCTCTCAGTCCTTTGACTCCTAAAAGGACTGATGAATGTCCAGTAAAATGAGAAAAACTGTCCAAATAGATTATTAGGATGTGCTTTTCTCTTGTTCCCCACAGGAGGTGCTGGGAGTGTCATGTAAAATTTGTTCCCATCTAGAAAACCGTGTCCTGCCATAATACATTGGGTCTATACACAACCTGGTGTTTTGTGTATTTGTTTGAATCACTGGTTCCTCTCTCATTACAAACTGTTTTGTATTCATTATACATAACCAAGCAAGGCATCACAGCTCTGACAGCTAAAACTGCTCCAGTTTCGCCGAAGGATTGTCTTTTTCCAGATGCACTCCAGCATTGTGCAGCAGCATGCAGCCGCCTGACCCCAGGGAGACAGGCGCTCATCACGGGAAGGGAAACAGGCTTGTTCTAGCTGTCACTGCTGTAATCTTCTATTATGCTCAGGGTTTTGACGCCACTGTTTTGACTTTTTTTTTCCTCCTCAATGATATTTATGTATAGTATAAGTGAACTTAATAATGGGCTCCTGTTGGTAACCAAAGCTCTAGAAATAGAGTAATGCTTTTGTGTGTGCATGTGTGAAGAGAGAGAAAGGGGAAGAATACATGACAGCTCTGCTCTGGGGCAAAGGTTTTATTAGCATCGGTGGTTGGTGACTGTGCTGTCCCTGTGGGACACTGCATCACTCACCAGAATGAGATGATTGGAGTGAAACCAGTTTACTTTCTTCCCAGCTGAGTGTGCAATTCACAGTTGCTGCTTCATCAGATTAGCCCGCTCCGATGACAGACATGGGCAGAGGTTCCTCTAAGCACCAAGGTGTACACAAGGGCATGCTTCATATGGGGTACTCACAAGGCAGTGGTAGCAGAACTTTGAGGCATGTGGAGAGCAGCCTCCTTGTCGCTTGTAGAGATCCAGCAAGTTGCAGCGACCCAGGTAGAACTTCATCGTGTGGCAGGCACAGGGTCTGGAAGGGCAGCGCAATGTGCATCCTCTCTCACTTCATGCCAGCAAACTTCTCCCTGAGACCAAGCTGTTGTGTCATTCATTTATCCCACATATTTTACAGAAGAATTTGTTCAGCTCTGTTACACAGAGCTTTAAAATCGATTCGGCTGCTCTCAACTGGCCCTCTCTCTTTTAATCCCTCCAGCTCTAAATAATAATACCATTCTAGCCAGGTTGGCTTAGTCTGACCCTGCAGACCACGGCAGACAGGAAAATTATGTCTCCGACATTTTAGAGACCTCTTATTACTCCCTAAAATAACCTCTTTCTAAATGATAGCATTGTGATATTTAACATCTGATATCTTGCAGTCCACCAGATCTAGAATAGAAGCAAGTGCTGCATCCTGTTGGAAGTGGGGAGGGGTGGGTGGTGTTTCCCAGCTCTCTCCTGTCTCTCAGGTCTTTGGCAGTTCTAGGCCTATTAGACCTTTCAGCCTAGAAACACCTGGCCTTCACTTCAGATCCATTGAATTTACGGAGAAACTGGATACTGTATAGGGTAAAAAGAAAGACTAAGTGGCAGGTGTTGTACGTTTTCACTGCAGCTGTTTGAAGGGCTGGGTTTACGGGGTGTTTAGGATGCTGGTAACACTAACAAATATGGATACACAGATGGTGTGAAGGTATGGGTGTCACAGGTGTGTGATAAATGCAATTTATCTCATGGTTGCAGAGCTGATTCTACATGGTGCAAATGTTTGTCACGCTCTGTGGGGCAAAGTCAGTGTATGAGAATGTATGAAACCCTCCTGCACATTTTGATCTTTCTTTTTCTCTTTTCCCCCACCCATGTTTCTTTTCTTTTTCCTTTGTAATCCTTTAACATTTGTCCAACAACTTCCTTGAGGAAGAAATGGGTAAGCACAGCTTTCCATACCATTGAGAATAGGGTGATGGAAAGAATACAAATGTTGACAAGCAGAGGGCTAGCAGTAATAATAATTCAAATGGCATTAAGTAAAAATTCATTGTAAATGCTGACTTCTGCATGCAATTTAGTAATTTTCATTTGCTGCTGTTAGCTGGCAAAGTATTACTTCAGCAGCAACACCCAAGAAAATGCATTTTAAGAGAGTGGAGAAATAAATAGAAGAACCCTAAAAACTGCATCTTGCTTGGAACTTGAATCAGCGGGTTGGATCATACTAGCAAAATAGGAGGGTTCGTGGAATTCACTCGCGTGATGAGGTGGAGCTGGTTAGTGGGCAGGCTTCCTTTTGCTAAAATAATAGCGTGTATGCACACAATTAACCTACTTAACCAATGAAGAACCCGCCTTTTTATTTTCAAACAGATGAATGACATTTTGACTTCACTTTGCTCTTCCTTTTGTTTTAGTTTACATTCTAGTGTGCTGAGAAATGACCCGGGGTCCAGGAGGTCTAGCAGCTCCACAATGCTGGACGGAGGAAACCTTGGGAAGTTTGAATTTGAAATCACTGATTTTTTCCTGTTTGGGTCTCCCTTGGGCTTGGTCCTTGCTCTGAGGAAAACAGTCATTCCGGCTCTTGACAGTAAGTTCTGACATTGGCTAGTGATTATGGCTACTGAGTCTGCTGAGTGGGCATTTAAAATACCTTCTGCAACCAAAAAAATAAAAATGAAAAGGTTCAGGATTCCAAAGAGAAAATCCAGTAATTTGGATGAGAGACTGTAGAGCACACTTACAAATTAAATGGTGCCTATTCCACCCTTGATAAAGAATAATTTGCACACTTAAAAATTAAATGGTCCCTATTCCAGCCTCGATAAAGAATAATTTGCTCCTGTACTTAGGGATTACAGAAGGCTTTTACTTGCAATAAAAGTAAAAAATCTACAAAAATTACTTGGTAAAGAATGTTCTAATAACCCAGCAGTTGACTTAAAACTCTAATGTGCTGGAAACGAGCTCTCTTTAGTGCCTTCTTTCCCTAGCAGTGCATTTTACAGATAGCAAATAACCCTTCGCAAATTAATACAAGCCTTGCAAATAACTTTGTAATACTTGGAAGTGTATCTCATTTTTTTTCCTCCTCTTTTTCTTCATAGTCTTTCAGCTCAGACCAGCCTGTCAGCAGGTCTATAACCTGTTCCATCCTGCAGACCCCTCTGCCTCTCGCTTAGAGCCTCTCCTGGAAAAGAAATTCTACCTGTTGCCCCCCTTCAATATTCCACGCTACCAGAGGTTCCCGTTGGGTGACGGCAATTCTGCTCTTTTGGGTAAGTCACTTTTTGGATCCACATTATCTACCTACAGCTCTGTGTCCTTGTTCTTGATGCAATCACTTGAGGTCAGCTGGAGTTTTAACCACCTGCAGAGTATAGGATTGGTCCCATAGCATTAGCTTTGTTAACGATTTCTCAGGCAAGTGGTTTCCTCCCTCCAAATTCAGTGCCTCGCAATCGAAATGCTGTTACTGTTCATTAAGGCCCATGCAGCATGCATTGTGTTCCATGTGAAGTCCTCCATTTTACAACACTAGGCTGTATTTGAGGTTAGAGCATTGCACAGAAACAGTTAGGTGGAGCTTTTAAGGGCTTGATCTTTCAGGGGAGTGAGAATGGTCAAGGGGGAGTGCAGCCCCCTGTGGAGGCGCTTTGCCCGTATATTGAGGAAGCAAGCTGACGGGGGAAAGGCTGAGGTGTGTGGGCAAAGTCCAGTATTGCCCTGGAGATGCTGAATGGTTGCCTTTAAGGCATACAGTTTCCCTTGGACACGTTTCATGGACTTTCTCTCTCCTTCGAGTGCAGCAGCTGGGCCTCCTGGTTAGCAGTAAGGGAGACTAGAAAACAGCTGCAGTGTCCTTTGCTTACCCTGTGCTGCCCTGTCTCAGCCTCCATCAAACCAATCTCCCTCATCCCACCCAGTGCTGGTTTCAGCACAGGTATGGGGGTCTGGTGCTGAGTTCCTATTCAAAGAGCATGGTAGAGGCCTGTGCCCCACTTGGTTCTCTGTTGGATCAAGCCCTTCAGTGCAGGAAGGAAAAAAAAAAAAGCCCTATGCCATGCTCAGTATCTTTCGTGAAAATGGTTGGGTTTTTCAGGACTCTGGTAGTTTTCCAATAATAACAGAACCAAATTCCCGTGGCATTTGATTGCTTTGCTCCACATCTCTTTCTGTATTGAAACCATGAAGTGGTGGACTTCTGTGTATATCAGTGTTGTACTTTAATCACCAGATTTGTGAAGCCAGTTGGTTAAATGGACATCAACCTAAACCAGCGTCTGAACAAGCAGTTCAAACACCTTCTCCAAGCCCTGCGTACTCTTTTCTTAAAATTTCTCTTCAAGTTCACTTCAACTTTTCAAAAATAGACCTAGACAGAATTATATGCGTCTGCAAGCCAAAAAATAGCCTTACATACCAACTCGGGGAAGCCGTGTCACCACAGAAACAGCTTGCTAATCAGTCACGCTCCCAGACAAGTGGCCTCTTCCTTGCCAAATCTGAACAGTCTTGTTTTCAACCTTTTGGAAACTAGTTTTTAAACTGTATGTAGCTAGATGGGGCCAATCCTACTTCTGCTGAAGCCTGAGGCCAACGCTTCAGTGCATTTAGGTTATCATCCTGTGCAACAGCAGGGACAGATTACTTTGTTTTTCTTTCCTGATATTAGTTAGGGCATCCTTGTTTAAGTTAGAGCTTCTTTCTATTCCAGTAAGTCTAGCTCCAAACAGCAATAACTTTTACTGCAGGATTTATAGGGTGATCCTAAAACCCTCCTCTGGTTTGAGGTTAGTTATGAGAATGGACATTGTTCTGGTGCAATGAATAAAGTGACCAACAAACAAGCAGCTCTCAGTTCTTTCCTTCATATGAAGTGAAAGCTTTTTATTTGCTTGTCGTAAAGATAACAGGCCATCCTTCTTCATTTGGGATCAAAACATCACTGTTGTGATTCACACATTACTGAAAAGACTTGTTTTAATTGTGATTTGCAAACCTGAGATTGAAGCTACAGTGCTCACTGCAGGGCACTCCAGGAAAGTTAATTGCTACTATAATTAAAGTGTATGAGTTGGTAATCATGTAAAGTCCAGGTGCTCGGTCACAGCTAGCTGCACATAACACCTTCTGTTGAGCTGCTCCTCTGCATCTTTTCCCATAAAGTAAAGCATCAGTGCTTTGAAAGTCTCCTTTCAGTTCTTCCAATCTGCACCTCCCTAATGCAGAAGAGAGAACCAGTTTGAGTACAACAATGTGTAAAGCTCCATTTGTAGTGAAATCAATGAACTGTCCCCAGTTTCAGTGTATTAGAAAACTGAAGAAAGTAAGTCTTCACTTTTGGGGGAGGAATATTTCTCACCCTAAGAGGAGTCCACTGCGTAAACTAGATAATTATGTCCGGTGATCATTTTGAAAAGCTGCATGAGAGGACTTCCATCTCTTTTTGTTCTTGAAATGTCGTTCTTGTTTTCCTGTGTTGTCACACTCTTTGACCAGTAAGGCACTGAATTTGGGCTTATTTGGAAGATCATCTACATTGGTGGCTTTTACCTGCCACATCTGAAGGTGGTCCTTTTTGGAAGAGCCTGAATTCTAGTTGCAAGTGGTTGATGGTAACTGTTTGTATGTTTTACAATATGTAGCCACATGTCTGTTGTTCTTGTCCTTCTGTTTTCTTCCCCATCTGCTTCTAGTTGAGACAGTCCAGAACAGCCCCATCCTCCTCATGGAAAGCAGCCCATTGGTTGCTCTCCAGCGCCAGGACAACTTCATGGAAACCAGTATCCCTGTTCCTGTTCTGAATTGGCAAGATGTTTCCAATAAAAATGCTGTTTTTGCTGAGTGTGTGTAATCTACACTTTTCTGTGACCTTGTGTTGGGTATCAGGGGTGCTACTTGGAGAATGCTGTCCTGCCTTCTGGGGCTGAAAGCTTTGCACTGTGTTTCTGAGTACGACAAGCGAAGCACCTGTATAGCCATGTGTACTTGTCCAAGGGCCCCTGAGCAAGTACAGGACCACAAGCCAAGGGTGGGAATGGTGGGAATTGAGCCACAAATTGTCTCCTCTTTCATTTCTTCTGCTGGAAGGGGAGAGGGAGGTCAGACAAGATATGTCTTTCCCCTCTGGCTCTGCTGCTGAAAGGCTTGTGGTCCCACACTCGCTTTGCTTTTCTTTGGGGCTTGTACAGTTTATGCTAGGCACAGAATTTCTTGTTCAAATGCATGCTCATTCCTTGCTTACAGTGGGCAGCACTTGCTAGTGCAGTCACATGGACTGCACAAGGAATTGGAGGATAGCATATGTCCATGCCAGAAAGTGCCTAAAAGTGAGCATCTTATGCTTAAACCTAAATATTGCATCAGCTGAACACAGTGGACAAAACTTTCAGGATCCAGAGGTGGCGTGTGTGGGTTTTTAAATTGATTTCTCAAATAACTTGTGCTTTAAGAACTGGTCTGATTTTTTTTTTATTTCTTTCATCAGCGCTGCATGGCTTGTTTTCTTCCAGCTATATGGCTGATAATGCATTTGCTAGTTTAATAGGACTTCCAGCTTCTTGTATATTTTTTTTTCCCCCCGGTCCTATAATTTTTTGTGCATTCCCACCTCTTATAAATATTGCTCCTTCTGCCGCCCTTGGTCACATGAGTAAGCAAGTTGCCCATTGGGCTTACAGCAGATAGATAGACCCGAGGAGAGGCTTTCTAAAGATGCAGATGGTGACTAGATGTCTGACAGCCTTTTGAACTTTAAAAAATTTCACCTTCCATCCTCCTGGAAGGACTGCGCAGCAGTGACTACAGCCATCATCCAGATCACCAACAAAAGTTGTTGTTCTGGTTTTGGCCCGTGGACCATGATTATACACATGAGACTCTCTTCCCTTCTGCCAGTATCTTGAGTGTAACATGGCCCAGCTATGTTCAGATCAGATTGTACAACATAATACATTGCACTCCAGCATCATGGCTTCCAGGGGATTTTCAGGGCTGTAAAAGTCTCCTCAATGGTTATTGCCTCTTTTACGTTGCCTTTGAAGTTGCAGAGTTAGATTTTTCTAAGGTGTTCGCTGTCTATCACTGACTTGAGCAGGAGCAGAGCTAGGCCAGTGCTGAGCATGGTGGAGTGTTTTTCTTTTTACTTTCTCCCCAAATCTCCCTTGCTACTCTAAACATCCCTAGCTTCAGTGTCATGCCAGAGGCTCTGCATTCCTTTGCAGCATACCAGGCTGTGTTGCAACAGCCTGTTTGCTGAATGCAGGCCACCCCAGTGCCCTATGGACTTAACTCGCTGTCAGTGTTACAGAAGGAGGGCAGCTCCGTGCAGCCCAGGACACGGATGGATAAGGCTTTAAATGAAGAGACCTAGCTTTCAGGCAGGGGTTATGGAGCCTCAGCTCAGGGTTAGAGAAGATGATATGTTGCTTCTGTCTTCACAGTCTTCCTCCCACACCCCATTTTGGAACCTCAGTAGAAGCGTGGTTATTCACTTGGCACAGCTCTGCTCACTGTAACACACACAGACACGCACCTTCCTCCCCTTTTTTCAAGCTCAGATCTATTCACAGAAATGGTGCTGTAACAAGATTCCCTGTTTCTAAGACTGCATTACTCTTACTCTTACTCTCAGGCATTTACTGAACAACATTCAGGCTGTTGTCAAACACACACACCTAAATAAGTGACTTTCCAACAGGCTTTTGGCACCACTCTTCCCAGTTCAGTGCCTCTGTTTGACATCTAGCTTTAGGCCACTGATTTGAATATGCTGGCTTTGGCGCGGGACAAAGTGGTGCCATCAAATGAAATTGGGGTGGGGAAAGAAAGATAATTTGCACAGTCTGCATCTAGCTGCTTTGAAACTTGGTGCATTTGCTTGCTTAGAATTGGCAAGGTCTGAAGTAATTTATATCAAGCAATTTGCAACGTCACTCCCCAATCATTTCTGTGGGTGAACCTTACAGTCCTGTGGTATCAAACATCCCAGGAGATGGTTTGCAAATTGGTTTCACTTACAGATTTGGGATGGTGGGAAATCCCTGAGTCCCACTAAAGTGGGGAAATGGGTGGAACCAGCTTTCTGGATAAGTTTTCCACCCTTGTTTCCTGCCCCCTGTCTTGTCTCAGGAAATCCCTCTGTTATGGGGTTGGGATGCACAGCCTGAAAAGGGACCTTTTTCCCACAGCAAGGGAGAGATAAAATGGAGCCTTTGAAAATACAAAAGCAAATGCTATGTAGGCTGAGTAAGGAAACATTGCTGTCAGAGCCAGCATTTCATCCTGTGAAGAAATAGCTTCCCCTCCTCAGCATGGGTATGATTCGGCTAAATAGTTTAGTTACATTATGAATGAAAATAGCCTTTGCAGCAACACCAGCTAGGGTGCTATTAAAAAGCCTGACAATTTTTGTGCACCATACCCAGAGTGACCAACCCCAAGTGTTCAAAAGCCATGAGTCAGACTTCAGGCAATGATGAGACTGCCTTAAAAATAATGTATTTTTCTTAAATACCAATAATGATGCACATTGAAGATTTTCTCATTATTTGCCTCCTGGTTCTTGAGTTTTCCAGAGTCTCTCACTTCACATTTTCAAGCTTTTGAGAAACATTTTCTGGAGAATTTTGGTTTTTAAATGAAAGCGGAGAAGTTCATGCAGTCTTTGATGGCAGCAGCTGGGACTT